TGTTTATCGTAGATATGATCTATGGTAACATGCAATTTCCTTTAACATGCAATTTTTCCTATAGGAAAAAGGAAATTGCATGTTACCATAGATCATAGGTGTCACGTTACGTTTTATATAGGTGTCACGTTACCGTTTATATAGGTGTCACGTAATGTTACCATTATATAGATACTGATCTATGGTAATATTCAATTCTTATATATGGTTTTATTAATTATTTTGATATTAAACCAACTAATATTGAGGGTAATGTGTCAACAAATTCCCACATGGGCTTATGGGAAATAAGTTTTTAGACTAATATGTAAGCCAGTCTTCCTAATATGACTTATATATTTTTTCCCAAAAGTAATATAAAAAATTAGTATTATAATATATAATGTATTTTAGTGATAAATATATCTTAATGAAATTTAAAGGTTTTTGTTTAAACTTATTATCCTATGTATAACAAATTTTTTATTTTATTTTATTTTAGTAACTATATACAAATTACAGTGATCATAAGAATAAAAAAATGTTTCGCTAATCATTTAGACCCAATGTGACAATGAGGAGAAGAAGGCAACTAAACCAAATTTAGCCTTCGTTTAATAATAATTATAAATATTTTTCAATTATTTATATACAAATTAAATTTTTTATTTTTTCACCAAATCAAAGCAACGAGTGAGGCAGCGCTAAACATTGCTTTCATGCCCAACGGAATAACTTTTCAGGGATGTTTTGGGAAGTTTGATAAAAAGTTAATTTTTAGCTTTTTAACTTATTCTTGTTTTTTGTAACTAAGTTATTAATGAGAATGATATGATCAAAAAATGGATAAAAAGTTAGAAGCCTGCATTTTTATTCAGCTTCCCCACAGACTCCTAAGTTGGTTTATGAACATCGCAATTGTGTGTGATTTTATTTTGTTTTTAAAATTTAATTTTTGTGGGGGAATTATAAGTTATTAAGTTATTCTTTGGGACAAATGTATAAATAAGGTCTTTTTGAAAAACATTATGTCTCTTTAGTCCCATAACCTTTTGTTTATACCAAAAGGTTCAATAACATTATTTCTTCTTCTTTGCCTCTCCTGCTCTTTGTGATTTCCGGCGATCGTAACGGGTAACCATATCTTACCTTCTTCTCTTTCTCTTCTCTTTCTCTGGTGTCATCATATTGGCACCCTTGCGCGACCCCCGCCCCCGACTACTCGGCTTGGGATTTCACCCCCCGCCAGCACCCCCCCCACCACCTCCCGACCCCGACCACGCACTCCTTACTTCATTGCCCCCCTCTCAGCCGAACCCCGGTAAGAAGATAATGTCTCTTCCCGACGAAGAAGACTGAGACCCCTAAGTTACTAGATTTCGCTATAGATTTACATCAGACCTCCGAGTAGCCCACCTCGCTCCTGACCACCACTCAATTGGCTAGATATGAAACAAAAATAGTTGTCAGGATACAATCCTCTCTATATTCTCGCTTCTCCTTCGTCTCGGATTATTTTTTTTTCTACATTTTTCTTTGCTATAACATTTTTTCTGTTCTATTTTTATGGAGAAATTTTCAAATTCTGGACAAATATTTTCACGTTTCTTAGTTATAGGGCGGTGAAAAAACTGTAAATTTGTGTTTCAATTTTTTTTGGTGCTGGAATGATCATGGTTGTAAAACTGGTAAAATTTTTCAGTTTTCTAATTTTTTTTTATGCTGGAATGAATCATGGGTTTAAGTTGTAAATTTTCCGGACTTTTCATAACATATTTTTTAGTTTTGATTATAAGGATAAATGCTTAATGAGATTTTGCTTTGAAACTGTAACATTTTACAGTTTCAAAACTCACTGTTTTTAATTTTGATCCAATTTTCAGATTAATTTGTTAAACTTTTACAAAATTGAAAAATAGCATATGTTTTTTCTCATTGTTGTTGTTTTTTGTCGTTCATTTTTTTTTCTTTTAGTTTATCAATATTAGGCGATTTTTGCTATGTTTTTCGCTCTATTCCTTCTCCATTTATTTTTTTTTTTTCAATATTCTAGACATTCGCCAATGAGTTTTCAATGATTTCTAACGTCTATGACGTTCTGGAACATTCTGGCGACTTCTATTAACATTTTTAACACTTCGGTTGAATTTCGGTGACTTCCCCCGGTGATGTTGAACATTCTGACGAGTCCCGGTGACCGTTAACAAGAAGTCTAACGGTAGTAGTGTAACAGTGCTTGTAATTAAAAAAAAAAATAGAATTTTTTAGTAACAAATTTAAAAATATATAGGATAATTGGCTGCAAATGTTTTGTTGAGAACTAGATAGGTTGAACTTTGTATGTGAGACTTATTGGTAAGGTTTTTCCTATATCATTTCAACTGTGTTACTTGGTCGGATTTTGGGTCCTAGTATTTATGATATTTCTTAGAATATATATATATATATATATATTTTTAAAACATATTATAAATTAAATTCATATATTTTTAATTAATTTGTAAATAATTTTATAAAAGGTGGTTCAAACTATTGTGTTAGTTTTCCCTTTGTTTTTTTTTTATTACCGAAATCCCTATATTGCGTCGGCTTTAAATTTTTTTTTTAAAGGTTAGAATTTATAATTTATTTTTCAAATTCCGGTTTTAAAACATAAATTTTCAACTAATTTTTGTATAAAAATTGAATATTGTGGATTTGAGCTTTTGTTTGGGAATAATTTTTAACTTGAACTTTTTGAGCATTTTAACCTAATTTAAAAAAAAAAATCGTTTGAGGAGAAATTTTTGAAAATTTTTTATAATTTTGTCAGAGAAACAATACTAGAAAATAATTAATAATTTAATATAAATTTTATCTTATTAAAATTTTTTAAGTATTTTATTTTTAAATAAACTAATTAGATCCTAGTTACGAGAATCAAATTGGATATGAGAATCTATTTTTGGATGTGAGGTTGTCTCGGCGGGTTATGCGAATCAAATTGGATTCCAGAGCATCTCCAACGAGTGTACCAAATGTTTGGCACCTAAAATTAAAAAAGTCTTAAGATAAAAAAAATCAAAAAAACTATAAAATAATTAAAAATGTCATTACCAAACTACCCCTTAAGGCATACCTCCTGTTTTACTCCTAAGAGTCAAACCCAATGTCTTTCAAGAGGAGACTTGGGCTCTGTCTCAAACGATTTCCAAACGAGTTTTTTATTTTCACATTTGAGTGTGATGTTTGGATAGGCACGTAGAATTAATTTTTCATGACTTTACAGAAAATTCTGTTTGAGAGTGCGATTTTTAAATTTTTGTTTTTGAAATTTGGCCTAATCGGTTGTTCTACCGTTTGACTAAAACAGTGTAATTTTTTTCTTTTTTTTTACAATTGATATGTTAATTTTATATATTTAAAAAAATATATATTTTCTGAATTTTTTTAAAAATTTTATGTGCTTTAATAGAATTTTGAGTTATATATTTGGTTATAAGTTTTAAATTTTTGTATCAAATATCAAATGTCACATCAAAAATTTTTCACTCTTTTTAAAATTATTTTCAAAATTTTTACAAAATAAATTTTTTACATTCAAATCATAATTTCAAAAGTCATAAATTCAAAATACTATTTATATTTTCAAATCATAATTATAAAATTCTATCAAATGCAACCTTAATTATTTTATTTTGTGATGCAAACTAAGAGGAGACTTCGTGCCAAATAAGTAGCTGCATAGATACATGTGTGTAGTCTTTAGGGATATATATATGCATCAGGGTTTTAAATAAAGCATGGATGTGTTATCACTATCTTCAAGAAGCAAAATATATTTTTGGAAAATAATCAGTTTGCTAGTTTTTATTTTTCAGAAAATTTTACTTTCTTTTTTTTCGTATTTTTTTATTTTTACTGAATTTTTTTAATATTTTAAACAAATTTTTTATTTTTTAGACACGCCTAACATAAATACACCTAAAAAGTAAAAAAAATGTAAAAAAATATTTTAAAAATTTACTAAATACCAAAAATATAAAAAAAAAATATAAGAATTCAATATATTTTTTGTATTTCTATGTATTTAAAAAAAAAATTTCACAATTTTTTACTTTTTAGATACATCTAATTAAAGTGCATCTAAAAAAGTAAAAAAAATATTTAAAATTTAAAAAACATTCACTAAAAACAAAATAATATGAAAATCAAAAAATTTAGTTTTCAAAAAATTTAATTCAGAAAACTCAAATCAAACACACTGAATAGTCTTGTTTGGTTTGACTTTGGGAAAAAAGATTTTGAAGAAAATTTTTGAAAATTTTATTTGATTTGTAATTTTTCTCAATTTTTTTTTTAAAATCACTCTCTTCTACACGTCAATCAATCACTTTTTTTTCCTTCCTCTCTTATTTTCAATCACTTTTTCTTTTGCATACATCTACTTAATTACAACAAAATAGCAAATCATCTCATCTCAGATTCCTAAACTTCAAAACAATTTTTAAAATATACAATCAAACAAACTATAAAAATTTTTAAACTCTCTTTTCAAAATATTTTTTAAAAATTTATCTCTCAAAGTCAAACCAAACAAGGCTAATAAATGTTTTAATGGTAACTTCAAAAAAACAATTACTTTATTAATTTATTTTTTAATGCTGTAAAAAAAATTCTATTAAAATAGTGAATAGCAAATGTGTTCCAATGTCCAATTATGAAATTCTTAAAAATATAGTTGGTATGCTAAAACTCAGTGGATAATAAATCAGGAACAGCATTATAAGATCATAATATTTATAATTTTTATTTTTGATATTTACCGATATTAACTGATATCGATGGTTAAAATCATGATATTAATGGTTAGAACTTTTAAAGCTCAAAAGAATAGGCTTGACTTGAACTGAGATTTGCTAATATTGGGCCTGACTTCACCAACTAACTAATAAACAGTTGACATTGTTGTTCTATGACTTGCTATGCTAGACTATTAATAGTTTGTGACTTTTTGTTTTGGTGATTATTAAATGTTACAGGCTTACACAAATGAGTTGGAGCTAGAAGTTGCCCATTTAATGGAAGAGAATGCTAGACTAAAAAGACAGCAACAACAGGTAATTTAGGTATATCTGTAGCACTTTGAGATCTACCTCATTGACATTTGTAGACAGAAGACCCACAACTTTGATGTTCTTATCTGGTTTTTAAGCTGTATTTGGATGTTGATTTGCGAAAAAAGGGACTTTCCTTTATTTTTCTTTTCATCAATTTAAGATCCAAATATCCACCCAAAAAATTTAAGATCGGAACATAATCATAATATTATAAGGAGATATTTCCAATCATTGATTCATTAAATTTAAATATGGGTAAAAAGAAAAATCATCCAAAACCTTTTAGCCTGTTTTTTTATTTTTTTATTTTAGCCTGATTAAAAAATTTTAACTTTTGACATTTTATAATTTTATAAGAAAAAAATAAAATGATTATAATTTAGATATAGTTTTTTACCTTATTAATTTTTTAAGTTTATTTTTTCTTTTTGTCTTTCAATGGATCACAACCTAATTTTCAAACAAAGCCCGAGTTTCACCTTCTTTGCTTTTTTATTATTTATAACCCAAATCAAATAAATATTTGCTAACAGGTTTCAAGATTTGTAACTTTTTCCTATTTACAACTTTACTATTATTGGAGTTTTTCTTCAAATTTGTGTTTAAAGTCGGTCCACGGAAGTCGCTAATAATGAGGTGTTTGTGAAAATTATTTTAAATTAAAAGTTGATAATTAAAAAATAAAATTTAAAAGTAATTCTTTCTCAACTTTTGAAAAATTAGTTTTTTTAACTTATTAAAATTATTTTTGTATAATAAATTATAAACAAAAATTACATTAAATAGTCTAATATGAACTATCAAATTAAATTAAGTTTATATAATTTTCACCGAACACTCGTAATAAAACTTTTACTCTATATATTTTGGGGAGGTTTTTTTCAGTTCACAGAATAAATTGGAACATATTGTTGGGCCCATGGGGCTAACAATGGTTCTCGTTTCGATGATCCGAATCATTTAGTATGTAAAGTTCATCAAATACTTTATGCTTGCAAAAAATTATATTGATTGAATATCGCTAGTCCTTTGATCGGAACATATTTTTGTTAACAATTTATTTTTAAAATCATATTTGCCATCGACAAAAATATATTCCGATCAAGGGGCTACTGATATTTGATCAATGTATTTTTTACAGGTATAAAGTACTTAACGAGTTTTACACATTTAACGGTTCGGATTATTAAAACATGATCTGTGGTGAATTTCGCGGGCTAACATTATTTTCCAATCTACTATGTCCCATATATTTTTTACTTAAATAAGTAGAGATTTTGAGTAAGTTCTAGAAATGGCACTAGGACTGAGACGAATCCAAGGTCGAAATACAACATTAATTATACTATATTAGCCAAGTAAATTGTAGATAATTTTATTACAAAAGTTGTGTAGCTTGTTTTCATATCCATCAAGGGTTCATTGATAGTGTATTGTGTCTATTTGTTTTGCCAGCTATGTTTAGCTGCAGCTGCCCAAGTTCCCAAAAAGCACATTCTTCATCGAACATCAACAGCTCCATTCTGAGAAAGAAAAGCTCTTTCTCTCTCTAGAGATATACAGAGAGGGGAGAGAGAGAGAGAGGGATTTGTGGGTTGATTGTAACCTTTTGATGGGTGGGAGGCTGAATCACTGTCACAGATTGTATGGGATTTGTGGGTTTAATTTGGAAAGACTAGGAGACAAATGTAAACATAACGTTTTTTGAATTCCAAACATGAAGGGATTTTTGGTGGGTCTTCTGTTTGCTTGCTTACTCCCTATTTTTTGGTCTTTTGACTCTCCCCCTCACTCTCTCACATATGTTTGGTTGAATAGAAATATGAATGGCATTTTCAGAGAAAACAAACAGACAAACAGGGTATAATATTAGCTCCAAGAATATGAACAGTATAAAGATGGGACGCATTGGCTATCATTTTCGTCATCTCTTTATCTTTCTTTTTTCTTTCTTTCTTTTTGATCTTTTTCTATCTCCTGATAATTACTGTCCTTTGATGCTCTCTTTTGTTGGGTTTTTGTATGTCCATTTTTGCTTTTCTTTTTTCTTTTATTTTTTGGACAGAACCACAAATCCAATGAGACAACAACCTTTGTTTTGAACCACATAACAATTACCCTATTTGGTCTGAATGGAAAAATCATTAGATTCTCTCTGAGTAATAACTAGTATTGTTTAGGTTGTATTTCAATGAGGGGAAATTGCATTTTTAGTGGTACAATAGGAAAATAATGTCGTTTTTATGGTAGTGTTAGTTTTCTATGCTTACGAAGCAATTTTTTTTTTTTTTTTGTTAACTTCTTGGGCATTTTTTTTAAAACATTAATGTTTAATGTTTTTGTATTTTTTGTTAAGTAAAAATCATAATTTTATTTGTTTTATTTTTTTATATAAAAAATAATTTAACGATCCCCTCATTATCAATCCTCTCACTAACAAACAAACACAATTTTACTAATCCCCTCACTATGAAAACAAACACAATTTTACTAATTCCCTCACTATCAACCCCCTCACTAGTAATTCCCTCGCTATCAATCCTCTCGATTCTATTTTTGAAAACAAACGGGGCCTAAAAGATTTATTAGAATTTTTATGAAATGTCTTATATGGCGTGAGATTCGTATGGAACTGCATGGTAGGATTCCACATCTATATGAAATATTTGGTAGAAATTTTAATAAATCTTTTGAGTCTCTAGCATTTTGGTTGACAAAAAATAATTATTAAACTGATTGAGGATAACTAACTAAAGTAAATTTATAATTTTTTCCAATTTATCAAAAAAATAATTATAATTTTTTCCTTAAAATATTACACATGTTATATGTGTGTATTTTCTATTAAGTTGTAATTAATTTGATCCAAAAAAAAGTTAAAATTGAGTTGATTGAAATTATGAATATCAAAATGACAGGCCCAAAGTATATGGACTACATTGTAATTTGATCAGCATAATAATATATCAATTGACAATACAATTCTGAGATTAAATTTAGGCCTTATTTTGATTTTTCCGTGTTTTTGATGATTTTATGATTAAATTCATAAATTTATGTAGCAATTTTAGAATCGCAATCTAGGTTTGTTATTCACTTCGATTTTACGATTACAATTATGTGCCAATGTTGGAAGTCTTTGATGTGATTAGATTTGTAAATTCGTTATAATTGAATTATAGGGACTTTGGTTTGATAAGAGGGATCACATCCTGAATTTTAAATTGGAGGTAATCTTGATTTAACGCCTTAAATTATGTTTTCAAATCCAATATTCTTCCATGGAACAATCACCCTCACAGAATTTCTATGATGTATTAGATGATCTAGGGAGAAAAACAACTTCTAATAATATGATTTGATTAGATTTACTGTAATTTGGTAATTTTTTATTAGGATTTTGTTAAATGCTTGAAAAGGACATTAACCATAAGAGTGAGTGGATCAGAGAATGTACAATGCTTTTCGAACTTTTTCTAATTTGTACCTTGAACGCACACGTTAACCAGACCCATTGACCTTATTTGTTAATATTAAAATTTGATATAACTCAATATTAATTTTCAAAAAAAAAAAAACTTATGAAATTTTTGTTTGTATTAAATGAGGGATAAAATTGGAATAACATGTATCATTAGGGAACAATGAATTTTTTTGAAATTGTTTTATGAAAAATAGGATTTGTCCATATAAAAATTTGATAGGACTTAATAGTAATCTTAAAAGCAAAATATAACTTACTGGTTATTTTTTTCATTATTTTTTACTCTACCAGTGAAATGCAAATTTTTTTTTTTTTTCAATTATAACATACATCAATAGCTTGTTCGGATTGGGTAAGAAATGATAAAAATAAGAGTCAAAACTATTTATTGTAGTTAACTTTTAAATTAAGTAAAATATTGTGAAAAAGACAACTATTTTATTTTGTTAATTTTGTTTTTTTTCTTTCCTTTCAAAAGTGATGAAATTTAACTGAGCAAAAATTAATGAGAAATGTTATAAGAATGTGCACCTTTAAAAAAAAATGTACATTGTAAGAAAAGTTACGGTTTTTATAGTGAAAATTTTGAATTTGTAATGGAAGTCACACTACAGGAAAAAAGGGTTATGGTGGCGTTTTTTTAACGACGTTTTTTTAAATGTCACTTTTATTAACATTTAACGGCGTTTTATAAACGCCGCATATTCTATTACACAAAACGGTACCGTTTTATAATAGGAAACGCCTCCAAATGCGGTAGCCGCACGCG